TCGCGTCAGATATCATCTCAATGAACAGTACCCTCAGCGATGGATTGGGCGTGGAGGCCCAGTAGCATTGACACCGAGGTCACCTGACCTCACTGCAATGGACTTTTATCTGTGGGGTCACTTGAAGTCCGTCGTTTATGCAACACCCATAAACAATGATGATGTCCTATGGGAACGTGTGCAGAATGCATGCCAGATGATTCGAGCATACCCTGGTATGTACGAATCCATCAGTCTTGTGTACGTCGTGCTCGTGCCTGTGTGGAGAATGGAGGAACAACCTTTGAGCATCTGTTATAAAGAAACATCCCTGTCCTTGTACTTGGCAATAAAGGCATACATTGAAAATTATTTTTGGCTATTATTTCGAAAACGAAACATTTGCGACCCCATTTTCATAGGAACATTTTTTCTTATTTTTGATCCTGGAACACGCACACGAAGTTTGTAAACGTACTTCTGACTCAGCCTATATATATATAGGCGTGTGTCTTTCTAACCGACATCCTTTTTACCAGAACTGGATACGTCTCGGAGCTCGGGAGTTTCTGCTGGGGTTGGTGTGCGTGTAGTCGATCGGTCGTTCGTACGCCAAGTCTTCTGTAAGAGTCGGTGTGGGTCATTTTGCGTGAAGGGAAAGTTTTCCCTATGCAACCACTAGATAATCAACTGCTTCTGTGCTGTCATGGAAACTGTTACTCAGAAATACACCATTGGACTTCTTTAGCCAGGTTAATTCAACCGAGCTCCTCACACTCTGGTTCCACGTTTTTACCAAACTTTGCACCCTGCCACTGATTCGCTATCACTGCCTTATGTCGGACTTCTGATTAATTTGTATTTTTAAAACTTTACTTTTATGTCGATGTGACATACAGCCAGTGGCATCCTTATTATATGATGGTCCCTCTTGAGGATGGACTTGTTTAGACCGAAACATGTAGTGTATAAATGGATAGGAAATAAACAAGGGTAGTTGTGTAGATGGATGTTATTAGTTGAATCGTCACCCAAGAGGATGCTTCAAATAAAAATTAAGATCTAAGCAGTAAACTGTGTTGTTAAATCTCCCAAGAGACAGCCACATCTTAAAATGAATTCCAATTTGTTTTTTTTTCAGTGGCTCATGACATAGTGATAGTGGTATTGAGTCAAGGGGACTCGTACCATGCATCTTTGGCCCAACAGCTCAGAAGCAGCATCCAGGAGCAAGCCCATGAAGCAGATCAGGTGGGAAGATGGTGCAGGAAAGTCTACAAATGTGTGTTTTTTTAGAACCAGTTAGAAAAACACACAAATCAGTACTGTAATATAATCATTGCTACTTAAACTGCTGCCTTGAAACTAACAGTTCTCAGTAATTTTTGCCTCTTTGTGTAAATATTGCAGTTCTTTCTGCTTAACAAAAATTGGTCTGTAACAAACTCTATGTTTAAATGTTACTGAACTTATATAAAATGGGTTTTCTGGTACATAAAAGACGTTTTTGGAAAAGTTGCAGCCCATGCTTCCATTTAGGTGCTTAAATGTATAATAGATCAGTGAGTGAAGTTCTTATGAATATTGATAAAAGAACATTAATTATGGCTAACTAAATTTTTTAAATTGTTTAGTTTGCGCATCTACTAAATATGTATTCCATATTTTATGTATTTCTGTTTGTTTATGTAGGTTGTGCCCAAAGTTCACCTGGCTCATGAAGATTTTCCACTTCCAGGAGCCTGGACAGTGGTCCCCCTTTTGTCCGAGTAAGTCAAAATATATTTCTTTCTTTCTTTTGTACAAAATTTTGATTTTCTCAGACGTGATGGATGAGAGTGGAAAGAACAAAATTCGAATGGTCAGCTCTTGAAACTCAGATATTGAAATGTATTTATTATGCAGGAAATGAATTTAAGTGAAAAGCAAAGCGTCTGTTTGTTAATAATGATAATGTACATTAAAAATGCTTTGAGGCTGTTTTGTCATGTTATTTCTAAGAAAATTGTTCTTGTACAATGTTGTTGATATTTTGAAGTCTTTCTAGTATCATAAAATAGGTCTTGACTGTTTCCTTCTACATTTCTCAATAATTTGATAATAAGAATATCATTTCATGAGTATTATAAGAGGAACACAGTTGAATCTCAGCTGCCATTTCTGAGAGCTTTTGTGCTTTTCCTTGGTCTTTTCAGGTGAAATGAAACAGTCCACACTGTCTCCTTCAAAATCCTTACCTATTCATTATTTGATTTTTTTTCAGCTGATGCTACATCATTGGTCAATTGAATAAAAATTTTCTTGGATATTATCCATCGCCTAGTAAATATAAAACGTAAAACGACGTTTCAGAGATGGGACTCTATCTCCGTCTTCAGGTTCCTACACAGTTGGGCCCACTAGATAGAGCTAATCCCTATCTCCGGAC